TATATAGATGTGTAACCTATACATTATTTATATTATAATTTAGTGTTTTATATTAGTTTGATGTTAATATTATGACAATTTTTAGAAATATGTATTAGACTTTAATATAAAATATACACTAACATAACAAGATTTTCTCGAAATTGGGAAATGCAGTGTATAGAAAATAAAAATATACTAAAATATAGGGAATTAAGTATCAAGTACAAAAGATAAAAAAAAAACCATTTAGTGAAAAATATGAAACAAAATTAATTTATTAAATTTGGATTTTACAAATGTCACACCTTATTATAGATCTTATACTTTTTTTGAACTAAGTAATAAAAAATAAACAGAGATTGTATACCATTTTCTTACAAGTAATTTAAATTTCAACACAGGTACTTTTCCCCAAAATGATGCCTCCTAAGCTCATTATTTTGCCTCGTTAAGGAATCTATAGGTTACACATCTATGGAGAATAGTAATAACAAAAGAGTTAAAATGCGGAATCTTTAGGTTCATGATAATTTTATGAATTTATTTGAGAAGTAAAACTTAAATATTGTATTCTATTTTTACAGTACATAATATTTAACATGACTTGTACATTTGCAATGTTTTGATAGGAAAAGTTTGGATTAGGGGACTATTTGGAGCGTCGGCAGTGCAGTTGGCGCTTGACCGGATCATATTTTACATATCCAGGTACGATCTCCGCTATATAGTAATGAGTTCTTCGAATTTCATGATAACATCCATCAGACATTCTTACTGTAATTACAAATTGCATACAACTGCATAGAAATTCAAAGATATGTGCGAAGTCAACTAACCCTCACTGGCTCTGCATTGTTGAATAAGACCTAGTCGCATTCTTGAGGGTAGGCTCCGAGCTCCTCAGTGGAGTATAGTGTGTCCGTATAGTGAGCTTGATGATGACGATTTGTTTTGCTTCAATGCATATTGTCAGCAATTTTCTAAATATTTTACCAACAGAGAGGAGCTAATCTCTTTCCAGTGTTATTCTTTTTCTCAAGACAAGAGTGGCACTACTACTCCAGTTCTATCAGAAAATATGATCTATCAAATAAACAAACTGGAACAAATAAGCATTTATCAAAGTTGGGGTATTTTGTTGGTGAACTAAACAATAATGGTATTATTACGAAAGCAATGAGCATTATGTTGCGTTCTTAAAATATGTTCGCTTTAGTCAGAAGATTAAATAAAGTTGCAATTAACGAAATTGTTTTATTTTTCCAAAATTGTTTTCCCTCGAATAATACTTTCAAACGTCAAAACGGAAATTGACAGATTGATTTTTTTAGGTTGGTAGCAACGTAGACTTGTTCATAATATTGCTAGCATTGAAAATGTCAATTTTTATTCTCCGTTTGTGTATCTAATTAGTCAAGAGTCCCGTCTCTTATTTTATATACTCTTTGGTTTATTTATTGTCCACATGGATTTCCACAATTGCCATAATTGAAAATAAACATTAGGGGACAAGACAAAATATTTTAATAAAATGTAAGCCCATAGAACACAAGTAATACTACGTTTCTTCCATAATTTCTGCTAATTACTATTTTGTTTTGAATGAAAACCTTTTGAATTTCTTGAGATATTGTTTTTCACATAGCAACTTCTAATTTCTTCAAATGTCACTGTCATGTCGTTCAAAAAGAAACCGTCAATGTCAACGAAGACGTGTTTATTATTTTAGAAATTAGGAAAGTAATATAATATTGCAGTATTGAACACTACATTTGATTGTGATAAGAAATGTTTAAATAAACTTACGCATGACATTTTATATTTGCTGTTAATTTTTTTATTAAATATCAATATATTCATCTCAAATTTTTAAGGTTAAACTTGTGCAGAATCTTTTATTATGAAGCACAGAATTTTGGAACTATACAGCGGTATTGGGGGGATGCATTGTGCTTGGAATGGTAAATAAAGTTTTTCCTATGCAACGTTTTAATTTTTTACCCTTTAAATACTATTTACATTGCAGAATCGAAACTAGAAGGAGAAATAGTCGCAGCTGTCGATATAAACACAGTAGCAAATCAAGTTTATTTATACAACTTTCCGAAATCTAATTTGATGACGAGAAATATCCAAGCCTTAAGTCTCAAAGAAATAAATGATATGAATGTTAATACAATACTAATGTCACCTCCATGCCAACCATTTACTAGAAATGGTAAATATTTAGATGAAAACGACCCTCGAACTAATTCGTTTTTATATTTAATAAGCTTACTTGACAAGTTTGATAAACTTCAATACATATTAATGGAAAATGTAAAGGGTTTTGAGTGTTCAACAGTAAGAAACTTATTTATAGATAAATTGAATCAATGCCAATTTGAATACCAAGAGTTTCTCTTATGTCCTTCCAATGTTGGAGTCCCAAATTCTAGGCTTAGATATTATTGCATAGCAAGAAAAACAACTTCAACATGGGCTTTTAAAAGAAAAACTGAAATAGTATGTATTGTTTTTTTTAAATTAGTACTACATTTTTGTTTCAGAGTATAAATAAATATTCTCTTGTTCACAGATGATGTCACTACCAAAAGCTTATGGGGCACCAGATTCTATAGAAAGTATTTTAGAAAAAGATGTGTCAGATAAATATCTTGTTAAAAATAATATATTGAAGCGTGGGAATGTTCTAGACATAATTCAAAAGGATTCAAAAAGATCTTGTTGCTTTACCAAAGCTTATACACATTATGCTGAAGGTACTGGCTCAATATATACGGAAGCAAGTCCAGAAACTGTAGATGAATGTTTTGAGAGAGCTAATAAATTTGAAGTAGGTACTGATAATTTCATAGAAACATTAAAGGAACTAAATTTAAGATTTTTTACACCCAAAGAAGTGTTATTATTAATGTCATTTCCTTCATCTTACAAGTTTCCTGAAACAATAACTATAAAGCAATGTTACAGGCTACTTGGTAATAGTATTAATGTGAAAGTAGTTAGTGAATTGTTGAAATTGTTATTTGATTAAAATACATTTAAGGATATTTGTTCAAGGAACTGTTATTTAAATTTACTTTTTTATTGTTGTCATACTAACATTGAATACTGTTTAGTGATTATTATGTGTCTTTAACACCTTCAGTGCCTCTGAATCGCCTAGCGAGTTCTATATCATAAAAAAACTTCGTAGCATTGCATGGGTCTGACTTTTAAATATTTATAAAGATCCATTTGCTAACACTTGTCTTGCTCGTCTTTTAGCCCTGTGGTTTAAAACCCTCATCCGTAACATAACAGCTATAGATGATATTGTTCCCAATACAAATGACCATATAGTAAATTTCCAAAATGCTCTCTCTTCTAAATATGCAACACGATCACAGCTGTAAATAAGAAAATTTATGTATTATTTGTGAATAATAAAATATGATTAATTTTTGTATCATTTGTTATTTTTATACCTTCTTGTTACTGTTTCACCATTTTCACACTTCAATATTTCCTTAAAGCTTGTATGAATACAAACTCCTATGCTTTTACTTCTGATTTCAAAGTCTACAAAAGAAATGTATTAATTTTTGTAGTACAGGAATATTGCAATAGAGGTTTGCTTTGCTTTGCTTTTAACCTTACTCTTTGTGTTCTATAACTAGAAATATTTATACCTGAGCAAGGATGGCATTCATTGATGATTTTGTAAGGCTGATGCATCCAGCAAGTAGAATTATTTTCAGAAGGAAATGTTTTATTCTTCATTCTGCTACTGCCAGATAATGTTTCAGCCAAGTGTGATTCCAAAACCAGGATTACGAGAGTCAATCTGCAAACAAAATCATACAATTGCGTAATGTAATATGATGTATAAGTATGAAGGTTTTCTTTTTATGCTGTTCTTAATTTTTTTATACAATACCACATACATTCCTAAAGCAACTGTTCCCAACAACATGCATTTTTTCGAACATGTTTCAATCATTGCTGTATTCGGTGTTCGTCTTCGTTTCGATTTTAAATGATGAGTAGTCAGATCCAATTTCGAAATTGTACAGGATTAATTCTCTGCAATCAAGAAAATTTTTGCTTTTGCACTTATCAATGTTGACAGCTATTTCCTCACAAGAAGAGAAATCTCTCCGTATTTTTGAAATTATCATTAATTTTGTACAAAAAATACCAACAAAACAACTCACAATTGTCAAATTTGACATTTTGACAATAGCGGAAGAATGTCAAAATTGTCAAGTTGACAACCTAACACAATTTAAAGTGTTTACACAACGAAAAATAAAATAAATCCGACACGACAAGAACCTTTTTAAAAGATTCTATACTTTCTCAAGCCAGTTATTGAACGCAGAACACATATAATTTATTGTAAATATTAATTTCTGTACGTGCTAGTGTTAATGACCTTTTTTTCCTTTTTGTATGCTTTTTAAATTAATGGTAAATTGTTGAAATTCCCGGGATTTTATATTAAAAATGATTTTATGCAGATTAACTTAACAGGATTCGTGTTTATCAAAAATATTTAACAAAGTATGGCAATATCTATTCATAAATAATCGCTTAACTTTTTTTATGAAAATAGGCAAAAAATGGCATATTTTATGCGCCATGTTTGTTGAGAGCGTAAACGGAATAGAAAGCGGTGTTTTTTTTTTGTTTAGACACTTAGCTGAAGTGTAATGTACTCTGTGATAAGAGTTATGTAAAAAGACTAAAGTGTTTTTGTTTTGTTCTAATTTGAGTTAAAAACCAAATTAAAATGGCTCTACCTAACGAGACATTAAGATCTTTTCACCTTTATGTGACCCATGTGGATGGCGAGGGTCACTTCTTGAAGATAAGTGGTCAGCTCGACCAGCCTTCCTCGTTGATGATAGAGAGCTTATTCGATACTGCTCGAGAAAGTTTGGAACAAGGAGTGGGCGCCGTCCCACCGGCAGTAATAACAGAAGGTATCATTTGTGCCGCGAAATACAAAGATGGAAAATTTTATAGAGCTAAGATTATTAATACCACTAACCTTGCCACTGGATTGGTCGGGGTACATTTCATAGATTACGGGAATAAGGATATAATCTCTGTGAGCACCATTAGATTTTTAGATAACTACGATCCATTGTTCTTGCAAATGCGTGGGCAGTCTTCGGACTATTATTTATCTCGTGTAATGCATCCGTCAGGAAGGTGGGAAGAACCTTTACTACTAAAACTTCAGAGCTTACTTTGCAATGCGGAATATCCTGCTACTACAGAACTGAACACTCGAACTTTACCTATAATTTCAATACAATTTAAAGGAAATGATTTGTCTTCTCATCTTGTCACAAATAGATTTGGCATAGCCTTGCCACTTGCTAAACAAGAAGCATTGTTGTTACAACTCTTAGAAAAACAGCAAATGTCCAATTGGCAACCAACATTTTTGAACGAAAGTCACTTTTCAGAACATGTTCCATTTTTGATAAACCAAAACTTTCCAAATCCAGCATCAGCTATGCGTTTGAACCATGGTATGTCATTGCCTATTAATGGTAGTATACCTCCTCCACCAATAAATCAAAGATTGATATTTAACAAAGTCCCAAGAAACCATGCTAATTTAAAAGCTCCAGTTCGTCAACCTCACACTGCTGCAGCATTATCACCTGCCTTATCGGGTTCTGATCAGCCTTCACCAGCGGCTGCTTCAAAACCACCATCACCAAAGAAGTCCATTACGTATAAAAGTCGGCTACTGGAAGTTAATTCCCAACATAAAGTGTTTGTCTCATTTGCTGAAGAAGGCCCAGAACTATTTGCCGTCCAACTTGTGAGTGATGCAAAGAAACTGCAAGACATGATGGATGAAATAAATAAAAGGCCACACAGCAGTCTTAAAGAACCTCCAATGATTGGAACTGTGTGCCTTGGTAGGATGTCAGGAGACAGAATCATATGCAGGGCAATTGTAATGAATCTCTCAGGTTCTCAATGTAAACTATTCTTTGTTGATTTTGGTGACACAGAGATGGTGTCATACTATGATATATTTGATATACCTGAAGAGTTTGTCAAGCCAAATGTTTTTGCATTAAGATTCTGTCTGTCACAAGTCAAGAAGTTGGAAAAGGGTCCGTATTTAAATGAAACTTTTAAACAGCTGGTTAATGGAAAAGTCTTAACTTTGAAAGTGGTGTCACCTGAGGGTCCACCCCTTATTCAGTATGGTGAGCTGTTCTTAGATAACAAAAATGTTCTTGACTTGCTTATGGCGAACATGAAAGACCAGTTGCAGTTTAAATGGGTGGACTTGCTACCTTTAGGTAGTCGTCGATCTGTACTAGTATCATATGTAGATAGTTGTATAAAGTTCTATGTTCAGCTGTCCGATAAGATTGAGGAGTTGAATTCAGTTATGGATGCTGTGAAAGTGCACTGTGAGAGTAAATCATCACCTGGGGAGTTGCCAGTGGGTGCAGCTTGCTGCGCCAGGTTCCCTGATGATGACAACTGGTACAGAGCAAGAGTGAAGGACACAAAGGGTAACAAAGTCATAGTAACCTATGTGGATTATGGGAATGAACAAGAAATTAATGTATCGGACTTAAGGACTATTACTCCGGATCTTATAAGGTTGCCAGCGCAGGCACTAAAGTGTGCCCTAAAGGTAAACCAATGTTCAAAATTACTATAACTTCACTCTAACCTTTCCTTATAACATTTAAAAAATCTTATTGGAAGTGATTTGAGCTTGGATTATGTACAATAAAAAAAATATATACCAACTGTTAATTTCCCATAAAAGTTTTTATGAATAAAATCACAGTTTTATTGTTAAGAGGTTTTAAAGGTTATAAGATGAAATATAATTGTTGTTTATTCATATTTTATTTGCCTATGTCTGGCATTATCTTATTAGCCAGCTATTATATTGTAATTTAAATTATCTTTATTATTTTAAGGGTTATGAGAATAAACCAGTTGAAACGAAAACATCAAACCAGCTAGAAATGTTAGCATTGGAGAAGACTCTAATGGCACATGTAGTTGGTATGCTGTCAAGTGATACAATGCTTGTCACCTTAGTTGATGACACCGTCACACCTCCACTGGATGTGGCTCGAAGAATGAATCAGCTCTCACAGCCTAGAAGTGTTGAGGTAAGGAATGACATATATTTTTGTCCCGAGAGGTTTAAGCATTTTCTATATTAAGGCTGATTATTACCTTAGTTCAGTGGCCCAACAGATCTCTATGATATTCAACATAGATTAACATATTCTGAAAGACCTGGTCTGAGAGATGAAAGAGATGGTTTGAAGAACACATAGGCTACTTATTAAGTTTCTTTTAAAATCGGCGCATTGCGGGTGACAGCTAGTTACTGAATGTTAGTTTTTGTTTACACTATAATAATGGTCCAAATATTTATAACATATTTAACACTATTTGTGTACCATTTTAACCCAATTGAGGGCATTATAAGACGCCAGGAGGCACCAACTTTATGGTATATGTTTCTCCCTATTCTTTGACTAATGCAGTTAATGTGACAACCATAAAAGTGCAATGACAAGTGAAGAGTACTTGAAAGTAGTGTTAAAGAGGCCATAAATAATCATAATTGAGTGAACTAGGCTACCTATAAATATAATAAAGATTATACTGTTCGGAACACTAGCCTTACTAAAATGACAACATTTATGTCCCTTCACTAATGATTCTGATACTTGACTTTGTAATGAAAGCGCGCCATTCGCGCCAAAGGATTCTAAACATAAAATTCTAAAAACATATAGACAAATTCAACCTCTTTTTTGAAGTCAGTCAAGTTTAGGTAATGATTGAGTTGAGTTTGCTTATTTGACTTTTCACAATAAAACATACTTTATATGTTTTGACCTCCTTTGCATTTTCATTATAAGATTATCTGTTCATTGTGTAAGTAGTTCATGAGTGCAATTGGATTAAAAAAAACATATCCAGTTTATACCAGTTTTGTATATATGAAATAATTTAAATGCAACTGCATTTCTACCGTCAGAAACTAATAAAATATAATGTCGTTTTTTAATGAGAAATGTTTTTTTTTGAAACAAATATAATATGCAATTAAGATCTTAATTACCTAAGCCCTTTGTATTTATATTGTGCAAGTTTAAAAAACTTTTAAATAGTTAAGTTTAAAAACGTAAAAAATCTTATTGGATAAGTATGTGTAGCCAATTAGTAAACGACGACTACGACTTAGGGTCCTTCAAGAAGCGAGCAATCAGCATCTTAAAGGCCGGGAACGCTACGGCAGTTCCTCTGGTATTGCTGATGTCCATGGGCATCATTGAACACCTCGGTGTTCCCGCTGCTCGTTTGCCCCCTTCTGTTATAAAAAAAAAAGAAAAATTATACTTAGTTTTATTGATTTTTAAATTTGTATTTTTCTGACAGGCCAAAGCAACGACACCGGTTCGTACCGATCCACCGGAGAACTTCAGTTCGCCGGACAGTGTATCTGATGACGGCAGAAAGAAGAACTATCGCCGGGAGAAGAGTTTCAAAGAAGATCGTAGACCTCCAAAAGAAGGAAACGAAGATTTCGGACAAAGAGGAGGCAGCTTTAGGGGCAGGTATTTATACTTCATTCAAAATAATAGCGTAAAGAGGATTTTTTTATGTTACAAATAAACTCAAAAACTACTCAACTAATATTAAAAAAATTGACACTTTTATAATGCTACATCATTCGTGAGTGATATAGGCTATATTCAGTACTAGCTGTTGCCCACAACTTCGTCCACGCGTAATTAAAAAAAAACTTAATTAGTCGCCTACGTGTTCTTCCAGAGTATGTTCTACTGTAGATCTGTTAGCGGTTCTGGATATCTTCAAAAATCATCCATCGTTTCATCATTCATCCGTCTGAACATTCGTATTTATAATATGAGAAAGATTATTTTTAACTTATTAATTATTTTGCCGGCTATTTAACTTATAACTCGTGTATTATTTGCTAGCAAAGTTTTTTTGCACCTTTAATGTGTAATCAGTTTCGTGTTTGATCGCGCGTGTCGTTGCTAAATCGAACGTTAGTGAAACTTTCTAAACAATCTTTTCGTAGAATGAAACAGACTGCATTGTTCCTTTCGCCGTAATCATCTTTTAAATGCAATTGCGATTTTACTGACTGTCTATTTGTAATTATTGATAATGATTACTTTGTGGTATTATTTTAAAAGAGGATATAACATTTTAAGTATATAACAAGTAAATTTCAAAAATTTGACGATAGGAGCTAATTTTGTTTTTTTTTTTTTTTTACTTAATTTTGCCCTTTTGTACTAGTTAAAAAAAGCTGACT